TGCAATCGAATCGATATCAAATGGTGCGTATTAATGGAAACTTCGCCCGGAAATTTATGGAGTATTGTATGCAATTACAATTTTTTTTTCCATTAACGAGAACGTATCGCGTATCTTTCTCAATTAAAATCGCAAACAAATATCGCGGGGAAATGCAGGAAATGCATTAACATCTTTTCTAAAAACAAAAATATATATATATGTTGTACACATTCTCCTATAAATCCAATTTAAAACGAAGTCGCAAATAACAATCGACCGCAATACGAATTCTAAATGGCAATAATGGAAACGTTGACAACGCATTGAAAAGACCCGCCGTGAGGCAAAACAAATTACCGCGTGCAAGAATCGCAATTAAAATGCGCGTTGCGGGCTCCGGAAGCAATAAATGAGGGCAGCACGTTTGTCGCGGCCGGTTTCCAACGCCGAAAAACGGTCCGCGTTTACGCTCGGACGGGCAACACTCGCGGGGTTTTTCCCGCCGAAATGTTCCCTTCCGAGGGGCCCGCTAATTATCGACAACGGCGGTAAAGGCGGGTGCGCGGCGTTAAGAATCATCCCCTCCCTCCCCGCGTGGCGCAACGGTGTCCGTTTAAAAAACAAAAACCGCCGCGGCTCATTAACTGGCGCCGGTTCGCCCCGGCGCGGCGCGGCGGTTTCCGCGGAGCACATTTTTTCCGGGGCGCGCGCGCGTGAACAGCGTAATAACCATAATCAACGCGTATCTCTTTCCCTCCCGCGAATAACGACGCGATAAACCGCCCCGACCGCTGACGCGACGGGCGGCGTTTTTCCGTCCGCCTTTCATCCCTCATTTTTTTTGCGACGCGCTCGGCCGCCCCGCGTGCAGGAAAATCCTACGATGCGTGCGATAAGAGCCCGCGCGCCAAAGTTTCTTCCGGCGCCCGCTTCCCCCGTTCGAGTTTATCGCTTCTTGCGCGAGACTCGCCGAGAAGTCGGGTACGTCGCGGGGCGAACGGCGATCTCACCCCGGTGAATAAGACGAGAAGCAGCGTATTCGCGATTGATCCTGCAACTTTGGGAAAAGTCGATTATATCCGTCAGCGACGGAACGTCCCCCGCGTATAACGAACGGATATCGCGACGAGTAGAGGCGGACGCAAGGCGGAAAATGCAAGATGTAACTTAATTGGCCCCGAGCCAGTCATTAATATGAATGACGGAATCCCCGGTGATTTTTCGCCGCCGCCACTTAATATTCAACATCAAAGTATCCCGGTAATTGCGCTTCCACTCGACAAACTTTTAATACTTTTCGACAAGTCCTGATTATTTCCATTTGACTCGACATTATTGATTTAAGTCACTTGGGAGCTTAATAAACCTCTCTCTCTCTGCGATCGCGATACCGTCCGGCCGGAGAAGGTTCAACAGTGACGGATGACCGGAGGAGGTTTCCGTGGACACCGCGCGTCTATCGCGCCGGGCATAGTCCCGGTGACGTACCGGGGAAATATTTCCCAGGAGGTTCACGACGAGCGTGCCCGGCTGACGTGACGAAGATCCATACAATTACGCGAACGTAACGTCAGCCGCCATAATTTATACCGCGCGCTGGACAGACCGCGACAATGAGACGACACGGGGGAAAAAAGGGGGGGTGGGAGGGAGAGGGCGATCCATCGTCCTAAAAGAAGCGCCCGCGATCGAGAGTGACGCGGCGTGTCGTAATTTACGACGGAAACTGCAAGAGGGGCCGCTGAACTCTTTATCCGTCGCGACACCGCCCGAGACTTTTTCTCCCCCGACCCCCCCGGGGGTCGCGGCGCGTTTCATTGTTAAAAAAACGTACGCGATCGTCGCTCCCCATTCACGCGGGCAATACCTGGACATAGTGCGCGCCCCGTACCTGCCCGTTTCGAACGCATTTGAGCCTAGACCACCATGTGGGGTCGAGAAACATTTCTACGGGCCGCCAGGCAAATGTGTCATTCAAAATATTCGGCAGTTCGAAAGTTACGAATATAAATTATTGTTTGTAGTAAAGAACTGCTGCCGATTAAACGCATTTCACAAAAGTCGAAATAGTAGACGCGTAGACAACGTCTGTACTGTTGTTGCGACACGTATTATCATATGCCTCGGTGGTCGAATTGGTGAGATGCCCGCCTATGATCGTAGAGGTCCAGGTACAAGCCCTGGCTGAGGTAACGTTTTTTTGCAATAAATTTTCTGTGTTAAAAAACACATCGCCAGTTATGGTCGATTAGAAGCTTAAGCCAACAGCACGCGGTACTATTTTTCCTACTGGATTGTTTACGAGAGCCAATCAAGATGCGGAGTTTTAGATCAGATGACTTAAGGCTTAAGCCAACGGCACACGATACTATTTTTCCTACTAGATTGCTTACAAGAGCCAATCAGGATGCAGAGTTTTCGATCAGATAACTTAAGGCTAAATCCTGATTGGCTCTCGTAAGCAATGCAGTAGGAAAAATAGTATCGTGTGCCATTGGCTTTAAACCCTGACTGGTTCTCGTAAGCAATCCAGTAGGAAAATTAGTATCGCGTGCCGTTGGCTTTAATCATTGTTAAACGCATCTAGTTCGTTCAATAACCTTTTCCTCCCCTTTGCGTCTAGAAACGTTCCATCTCGAAGCCAATAAATACGTTGAAAATTCGCGCGAGTTGACAAATTGTACATTAAAACTCCGTGCAATCGTACATTGCCGGTGAATTTTCTAAACGCTTTGAGTCGCTTATACAAAATAAAAAGAAAGGGCACATCGTGGATCAGGCTTTAGACTTTTCGGCGGCGAGAAACAAAACGATTCTAAAATGCCGAAAGCACGTCCAACTGTTACTAAAATATTTCCGCTCGTAGAAAATCATTCCAAAGTTAAGACAAACGTCACGTGATTTAAGTACATGGAGCACTGCCCTTGCGCGCGGGAGTTTCGCGAGTTATTCGTTAACGAGAGAATCCGAACGAAAGTAAGTTTCAAAGGGCGTCAGGCGATCCATATATCATCGGTCGTCACGTTGCGAAAGTTCCTGGGATCTAATCGACGAGATCCACGAACTCGGTTTCCAGGTTCGCGCCGTAGAAAGGAAAACGACGTGTCCGTGGAGAAACAAGGTACCGTCCGAATAAAGGCGTGAGACTGGAAAGTGAAACGTCGCGGGGGAAAACGGTACTCTTCTGTCGTCCTTTCTCTCCTCTGGCGCGCGCTTACTTTATAAATCACACCGGTGAGCGGAACGCGACGACGCTCGCCAAGTGCAAGGACAAGGTGAAGAGAAGCAGGAGAAAAAAAGAAGAATCGGATGAAACCGGACCGCGGTGAGAAGGAATGGAAGAAGAGACGTCGCACGACCAAGACGACGACGACGATCATGAACGAACGATCGAGACGAAAGGAAGCTCGCGAGAGAGGAAGAGCCGGAGGTGCAATTTGCGCGAGATCCGCGGGCAGGTACAAGGTACGAGTCCGGCCGAGACGGAGTCCGAGGTCGAGCGGGCAATTTCGAGAAAAGTGATCGCGATGCGCGGCCCCGGCCTTGACTCACAGGTACCTTTTCCAGCGAGTTCCTTCTTCCTGCGGGCCGCACAAAGGCCCGCGGAGAGCGCGGTGCATTGTTCGCCCAGGACCCTTCTCAGGATGCGGACGCACCTCCCGGGATGCTGCTGCTGCGCGCTTAACAGGTGCGCGAAAACGGGCGTTTGTTCAGGTGCGGCGTACAGGTCGGAGGGTCTTCCTCCCTTCGGGGTCCATTGACGGCGGAGAGAGAGAGAGAGAGAGCGCCGAGGATGCGAGACGATTTCTCGCCGCAAGGATCTTAGGATCTTGCGTTCGGGCACAAAAGGCGCCCGTAAAAATTATACGAGTTATTTCGAACGAAGTCACGAAGAGCGGTTTTTCTTTAACAAAAAAAAAAGAGGAAGAAAAAGAACAATACGATGGACCCGGGACGTGCGTTATTCGAGACGTTGGGGATCACGGAACCTCGGGTTGTCTCTCCTCTCCTCTCTCTCTCGTCCCTCGAAACGATCTTTTCTTTCTGAATGATCGAAAATCCTAGTGAAACGGCTTCGAGGAAACGAACGTACAAACAGTTTCATTTGGACAGCTTCCAAATGGCGGGAAAAGTTCCAGGCCGGGGGGGGGGGAGGGAGGAGATAAAAGCAGTGCTAAAAGCAAACTGTCTACTGCTAAGAAAGTGCGTCTACACGTTGCGACGTTCGCTCGAAAGATTCAGGTTATATCGACCGTAAATCAAGATTCGCGACAACATACACGCGAAACTATTTCCAAGACCGACTCTCTCGGTCCATCGTTCGAAGCGCACCTTCGGCGATCAAGGGCTTCCCCGGGAACGTGATTCACGTTCATTACGAATGCGCCAACGCTAATGATTCATCGGCGGCGAACTCGCGGCGCTTCCGTTCGGCCGCGGCGCGAACGTCGACGGCAATTGAGACGAACGCGGTGGAAGGCCGGCGGCGGCGGCGGCGGCGGCGGCGCCGATCGCGGGATTCCGTTGGGACAAAAGGAAGCCGGCGAGAGCAAACCGGCCGGGACGCGCGACGGCCAACGGTCAGCGTTTCGAATTCGAACCAATCGACGCGACGCACCTGCCGTAGAACGAACGAACGAGACGAGGTGAGACGAGACGAGATGAGGAGAGACGAGACGAGACGAGACGCGACGCGACGCGACGCTGCGACGCCTGGTCGCTGCGCGCCACTTGAACGGAAATTCGAATTCGCGAGCGTCGAGAAACTTCGCATCGAATTCCAGAACTGTGCGGCGCGGCGCGACGGTTAAACCACCTGCTGAGTGCACTCGCCCGTCTCGGTCTTTCTCTCTCTCTTTCTCGCTCGCGCTCTACACACGCCGAGCGGCGGCGAACGGGGTCCCCGTGGGAAACCATGTGGCGAGATTCCACCGACGCGTACGCGGCGGACGTGATTCCCCCCGCACCGGCGCGGCGCGGCGCGGTATCGCGTGCGGGCAACACTCCCGGGGCCTTACCTGCTAGCTGCAGCAACAGAACGGCGATCGCCATGCAGGTGGGACGTTGACGGGCTGCCATCGCGGCGTGATCGCTGCCTATCTTCGCTCTCCAAGACAGTCCCTCTCTCGTGCCTCACCACACCTCGCTACTCTTCCTTTATCTCTCTCTCTCTCTCTCGGTGACGTTTTACCGTTCACTGGACACACACACGCGGCCGCGTTCCCCGAACTCGCGGATCGACGGCGATCAAGCGGCGCGGCGCGTTCGAGCGATTCTTCGACCGACTACGATGGAACGTCGCAACGTCGCGCTGGCCTATCTCGAACTGTGGCGGGGAGCGTCGCGTACGCGCTCGGCACGACCTTCGGCCGCGCTCGGCCGTCTCCGCCGGCTCACGTGATCACCGCCGGCACGCAGGCAGCGCGGGCAGGTATACGCGGCCGCGATGGTGGGGAGCCCAACGGCCGTTTCGCGCGCGCGACCTTCCGCCGTCCGAATCTCAGCCCGATCCACCGATGCGCCGTGGCCGTTCCTTCCAATTTCGACGACACCGGCGGATTCCTGGAAGGTAAGTCGATCTCGCGCTTCGCTCCCGACCTCTCCAAGTGATAGCGAGCGGGCGATATAGTCGCGACGGGTTCGCGCGTCGCGAGCTCGGCGGACCGGAGATTCTCTCTCTCTCTCGAACTGTAAAATGGCGCAACGTCGATGTTGTCGCGCCGCGCGCGCTTGGCCTGGTTTTTCCCCATTTTCCGGTTAACTGTTAAACCAGAGGCTGGTCGACTCTACGTCTTTCTCTATGTTATTGTCTAATGGTTCGTGTCCACGATGCTTGAGCTCGGTTTCGAGAAATGTGTAGCCAAATCGCTCTCTCTGAGGTTCTCAGAGCGAAAGATTCACCCTATTGAAGTGAGTATTTACTGCAATAGAAGGAATATTTCGCTTCATGGCAGTATTTTCACGCCAAACGTTGTACAAAGTTACTCGTATCTTTTTCTGATTTTTAGAACTAGAAGAGGAGGGAAAGTAAATCGAGCCGAGGTTAATCTGCATTGATGAAAGGCTGTTGTGCGTGACTTCAGTTTTCCTCTGCCTTGCCTGTACAATTAAGACAGTCTTAAGCGTTTACAGACCATTCTCTGCCGTAGGGTATTATTTTATTTGTCGTACGACAAATTTTTCAAGTACGTCGATTGGCTGCGGGATAGAAACTTTCTAGATACTCGACAACTTTTCTATCCTGCACGACAAATGTAATACCAGCTTAATTTGTATTTTGTATTTTGTATAAGCAAATCGAAACGCTTAAAAACTTTGTCGACAATTTATGATTGTACAATGTACAATTCATTAACCTGTACAATTTTTTTAAACGTATTTATTGGCTACAAAATAGAAGGTTTCCAGACGCAAAGAACACATTGTAGCTCAGCCTTAAGTGTACTATTTCATTGGTCGTGCGACACAAAGTTTTTAAGCGTGTTGATTGGCTGCAAGCTAGGAAATTTCTAGATACTCGACAACTTTTCTATCCTGCACGCCAAATGTAATAACAGCTTAAAATCTAATCTACAATATGCCCTTCGCGTCTAGAAACATTATATTTTGTATAAGCAAATCGAAACGCTTAAAAACTTTGTCGACAAGTTATGATTGTACAATGTACAATTTATTAACTTGCACAATTTTTTTAAACGTATTTATTGGCTACAAAATAGAAGATTTCCAGACGCAAAGAACACATTGTAGCTCAGCCTTAAGTGTACTATTTCATTGGTCGTGCGACAAATTTTTTAAGTACGCGATTGGCTGCGGCACAGAAACTTTCTAGATACTCGGCAACTTTTCTATCCCCCAATCAACGCGCTTGAAAAATCTGCCGTGTGACAAACGAAAGTCCAGCCTCAGGCTAATATAAACGAATTTGCCAAGCATGTCGATTGGCTGCAGAATAGCAAAGTCCTCGAGTCTCGAGAAATTTTCTATTCTGCGGCCGATCAGCACGCTTGAAAATTTTGTCGTACGACAAATTGTAATACCAGCCTTACGTTTTCGGTAACGGTACGCTCGAGAGTCGAGTCGCGTACCGAGCGCGCTATCTATTACTTAGATCAGGGATTAAACCGCCGCGTTAGTCGAGCATCTTTCACACGCGGTGGGCGAGGGGGGGGGGGGGCAATATTGGGCGCACCACCCTCCATATATCGACTTTTCCCTAGATCGACCATTTATCTTCCCCGCTGCGGACGAAACGCTGCATCGTACGCTCGTAAACACGCGGGCGTAACACTTTCCCAAACGAATATAAATCTCCCGGTCGCGCGGCGGCCGGAGGGATTTTTGTTTATAGGATATATGTATATACGGCAATCTTGTTTTCGGAATTTGTTTCGCTCTATGCTCCGCTCTCCGCATATGCAAAAATCGGCGATTTATGGCGGTGTCGGCTTAACCGGTCGCGGTGTACGCGCGCGCGCGCTCACGCGGTCTCGTCTACGTGCACGCGCGAGAGGTATCGATGCAATATACTCTAGTGATAAAAAATGGACGCTATCTAATCTGTTTGGCGGGACGCGACGCGAAGCGCGGAGCAAGATTGATAGACCCCGGGACCGAGTGACTGTCGGCTCTCGTCGGCTGCGAGAGAGGCGAGGTAAATCAAAGTGTGATCACGCGACGAGGAAAATGAAATGTGGCAACGTAATATTAGCGCCACCGCGGGTCCGGGGTGACGATTCAATTGAGATCGGCTCTTAATAACGTTGCCGCGCGAATTAATTCCCGCCGGAACTCGACGCGTGCGAGAACACCCTTCTCGCGCCGCTATTACGTCACGTGCCTTAAACGTCGTCGTTTAACGGAGCCCTTCGCGCCGCCTTTAGATTTATGGCACGCGCGACGAGCCGCTTTCCTCGCGCGTCATCGCCGTCGCCCTCGTGTCGAAGATCTCGAGGATTGATAGCGTATCTGTACCGCGCGCTGTAAATCCGCGCAAATATTGCCACGGCGCTAATGACAGACCTGTAATTACGACTCTCGTGTAGACAATTGCGCGGGGAGCTTATATCCCGAGCTTACACGGAGACGCGCCCGGCGAAAATAGACGGAAAATCTCAGGCTCGTCCGGCGATTTGCCGAGGGGAAAGTACAATCGCGCGTCGTCTCGTTGTCGGAGAGAAAAGGGGTCAGGGTATCGCGCAAGTTTCCGGAAAGGATTCCAATCGGAATTGTTTAGTTATTTCCTAGATTTTTATTCCGTTTTCTGGAAACAGCAGAATCACTCCGCTCGGAATCCATTCCGGAAAGTTCCGTAACACGTGCTTTGTGATCCAGCCAAAGTATCACGTATCTACCGAGCGGATAAATAATCACCATACAGAATTCCATTCGGAAATCTATCGCTACGCTCTGTTAAATTTGTAGCGTAAAATTCAACCCGGTGTGTCGTTAATTTAATTAAACACTGAAATTGAAAAGAAACCATAAAACGGACTGCACAAAAGATGCGGCTGGTTTTTCAACTACAATTTACGTTAAAATAATAAATTTTACCACGCATGATGGATAAAAATAACAGCATATCGAGCGGTAGCGACTACTCATCGAGTTATGGGGTCATTCCACTTTAACGGCCCAAAAACTGTGCTTATCTTTAACAATGTTTTGCACCATAAATACACCATACTTTTAAATAACACAAAAAAAGTTTGACATAATTTAAACAATTTTTTAATTGAGTGTTTTCTACACCGTTTGAATGGCGTGTCAAAAAGGATGCAAGTCCGCTGCGTTGATGACTTTTGTCATTCAGACTTACCTGAAACAAAAAATCAAAAAGCTTAATCTATATGAGTGTCGCTATGTCCTGAACCTCAATTAAGAATTTTTATTTAAAAATATCAAAATGATGCCAGTTTGAAAAAAGTTTTAAAAAGTACTTTCCAAAACTTTTTTCAAACTGGCACCATTTTGTTATTTTTAAATAAAAATTCTTAATTTTGGTTCGGGACACAGCGACACTCATATAGATTAAGAATCTTTTTTATTTTTGTTTGAGGTGAATCTAAATGATAAAAGTCCTCAACGCAGCGTACTTGCATCTTTTTTGACACGCCATTCGAACGATATAGAAAACGCTTAATTAAAGAATGTTTAAATTATGACAAAAATTTTGTTGTCTTATATAAAAGTGCCCGAATAAATCCCCAAAAGATTTATTTCATTGAACGGTGTATTTACTGTTAAAAAAATTGTTAAAGATAAGCATAGTTTTTGGGCCGTTAAAGTGAAATGACCCCTCAAATTTAATACGCACTATTAATATAATTCGTCAATATTTGCAGCACGCGGATACGCTATCAATTTCTTTAGACGTCGATCGTAGATCGATCCACGCGAAGCGTGGCCCTCGACGTCTTCATACGTGACGTCATCGCCGAAACTCGAAAAGGTGCTGCTGCTCCGATGCAGCCTCGAGTGTCCCTCCCCTTTTATTTCGAGAAGTATACAAACTCCATCACCGGTTACGACCTCCGCCTCGTCCTTCTCTCAAGAGGGCCGTCCTTTTTCAAATAAACCCGCCGACCCTCGCGCGCTTCACAGCTCGGACCCTCGGCTGGTCTTACGTGACGCGAGGAAACCGTGGGCTCTGCGCCTTGTGATGATGATTCTGTGGGACGTAGAGAAAGCGAGAGGCGCAGACGGTGGACGCCTCGCTTGTTTATCATTTGTCAACGGTCTATTTGCACCGAAGTGAGCTACAATCTTACGGACGCGAAGTCAAGTGGGTGACGTTCGCGCGTTGTCCTTCGTGACGCTCGTCGTGTCGATCGATCGCCCCGCCAATGAAAAGGACTACGGCTCGTTACGGGCCAATTGACGCGGTTAAGTCGAAAATTGAGCGCGTCGCTCAATTTTCGTTTTTATTAAACTTCTGGAGGGAGGAAACAGAGCTGTCGTGAAAGGGTCGTTACGTTACAAATATGATCGCGCCACGAGCTCCCCGTTTTCCGAGCAATTATATATAATTAATACAGGGGAGATATAATTACGGATCTATCGTTAATGTCGGTAGCGTTACCGCGAATTTACAGCGGGGGGTCGATTAATCTTCGATTATTGCCGCGCGAAAGGTCGTGCAGAATTAATTAAATGTT